TTTAAATTACAGTTTATTAATTTTAACAATATAATTTTAATAATAAAACTAATAGTTGTATATTCTCCTACCAAGATTTAAAGTAAATTTATGAATAATAAATTTATACGAAGTATGAATTTAACTATTATGCGTGGTAAAAATGATAAAGGTAACACACTAGTCTTGAAGACCTAAAAAAGGCACGAGTAAATTTTTTGTAACATAAATATTAGTATTTGTATTTGCCTGAAGATTTGCATACTATCGACCATGCCCAATTACCATTACCCAATTTTTTTTAAAAAACGATGTAAATTGAATACGTACACTGGTAGACATCTCCCTTACATCAAAAATTTTCTTAACCCTTTTAAATTAGAGAATTATATAAAATAATAAATATTTTCAACTATGTCTAGTATCAAAAGTTATTTTTCAAACATTAACCCACATAATTAATGGAACCGTTGTTAAATTATGGGCTTGTTTGATGAAGAACTTTTTCATGGCTTTTCCAATGGCTTTTGGATGTGATCAAACAACGAAAATATATGTTTGGTTATTTGGCTTTTTGTTGGCTAAAAAGTCAGAAAGTCAGTTTTTCTGCGAAAAGCCAAAAACTAGTAAGACTAGCTTTTTTGTGTTGATGGTTGGCTTTCAATGTTTTTAATGCTTACAACCAGTAGCCAACTTTACCGTACAAAACATATACATTAAGAGGCAATATAAAAAGCCTATACAAACAACTAGTTAGACCAATCAAGAGAAACAGTCAGCGGCCAATTTACAAGGCCTGTATCAAAATTAATGCTGATTATCACTTTTCAACTTCATAAGTTTATATTTTAGCTTGGATTTTCTAATTAAAACCGCTTTTATTTTTTAACACCCCTACTCGAATTGGATCGTGCATATTCATGCATAAGTGTATAACTCATGCCCGTACCATGCCGGAACCTTGTCAAAACCGACCCAATAAGGTGATGCGGACACTCCATCTAAAAATTTGGACGGCAAAGTGAGAGTGGTCACAAACAAGCTAGGATCGGATCCGAGTCAAATTGAAATTGAAATTCAAATTTAGTGTGAACTACTCTCGTACATTTGCGATGTATAAGCTCTAATTCAAATGATTGGACACTTTTCAACGGTTTCATTAACTGACTAATTACTCTTTTTTAGCCACAAATCTATTAATTGCTTTTCAATTTGAGACAACCAACCAACCAAATCTTTACAACAACTACTACTAATCATAGGCCTACATTTCTGACTACCTTTCCGACTATAGTACTAAGACACTTGTCTATTTTTTTCCCTTCTCTTTTCCGTCTTAGGTTTTTTGATTTTTTTTTAATCGGATTTTATAAATACTTCTTCCTTAAAATGTCATTTGACACATATTTTAAAGGAAAATATTAGAAAAGGCACAAATTAATTGAAATAATGTTACTACCAGTTAAAAAAATGTTAAGTTGTTATGATTTAAATGTATAACTTAATCTATTCGTTCACCTTTGAAATTAATCACTTTTTCAAATTGTATGTAAAGAATGTGTGCTTCAAGTATAAAAAAGATAGAGAAAGTATGTATCAAGGGTTTTAGTAGGATGAGTAGATTTTTTTATTGATATGGAGAAAAATAAATAAGTAAAAGAAAGTTAGGATTTATTATGTTCACCTTAATTTCACTTATTTTAAGTATAATAAGTTTAGATAAGAAAATTAAGGAAAAATAAATTCTGATAAGTGAAAATTAAATGAATAAAAAACACGCTCCTAGTTGATGAAAGGACTTACATCAACATGAAATAAGAAGAGAGTATAAAAGAAAGCAAGTCATATGGGGCTCCGGCCATACCATAAGTTAAATGGTTTAGGTTTTCATTTTCAATAACAACAATAATGTAGAAAATAATATATGCACATTTTTAAAAGAAATACTAGAAAATTATTTGTAAACAGAAGAAGTATGTAAGATAATTTATATATATATATATATATATATATATATATATATATATATATATAACACTTCCTAATTTTTAAAAAAACAAATATTCTTTTGTTATGTACTTTGTACTTTATATGGGACACGTGACAGTTTTTAACTGGCTTTCTCATATTCTCATTTCTCATTCTAGCAAATATATATATTATTCAAAAAAAATTACTCCACATTACATTGTACAGAGTATTATACAAGTATATATAGTAAGAGATCAATGTCACAAACTTGTTGAACCCCATATTGTGTACATATGAGTTGTTTCACACAAAAGAAGAAAAATACATGGAGTACTAATGTACTATTGTTATTAGCCTCATAAGTTTGAGTATCTAATCCAATTACTAATTGATCTGAGTAACTAATAATTCCAGGTGAAAGGAGATTCGTACCTCTTAAAAGTTATTTAATTGATTGGTAGGGGCCATGGCCATGGCCATTGCCGATTGCCAATGTCACATGTCACTAGAACTTTAGGTGAATTAGGTCCCCGATCTCAAAACTCTATGGTGCAAATGGTGTATACATTGTGAAAAATGCTAATAAAGAATTTGTTGTCATGATAGTAAAGAAGAATGTATTGATCATGCAAATATAATACTTTAAACGATACATCAAATTCTTACACTGTCAATGATAGCTCAATTGGTCGCAATCATATACTTAATATGATGCATGCACTTTTCCTTAGAATAATTTACGTATAAGGCTGCAAAAAGGGAAAAGGGGCGAGATTAGGACTTATGAGTAGTGATGCTAGACAGAGTGGTGCAAAAAACGCTCAATTTCAGCACAACAATAACTATTCTAATCTTTATCTAATTGACACGTCTTTACCTATAAATTGTTTTATCTCGTACTAAAATATTTGATCTACTAAAAGATGGAAAGTTAACTTTTATTCCGTCCTTCTAAATTGATTGGAGTAATTTTACAAAGATTTAATGTGCTATGTAATTGTTTTATTTCAAGTATGAGTAATTTAGGAGTGATTTGTGTATTAAAGATTCCTCTAAATGTTTTTATAAAAAAAAAAAAAAAAAAAAAAAAAAAAAAAAAAAATTAACACAAAAGACCACAAAGAGTAATAATTTATGCAGCTGCCTTCAAATATTTTACAATCATACGTATATAAATTGGATAAAAACCTTTTAACATAGAAGTATAGAACGCACAAAAAACAATATAATATTTAGCTGATATTTCACCATAATAAATTGATAATGCATGTAGCCATGATATTGCTTTAAATTTGAGTATTATTATTCCTAAAATTTTAACCCATAAACTATTGGTTTCCATATTGTCAAGCATTACATTTTAGTTTTACACGTAGGAAATATTTAAAATCCAAATAAAATGATGTTGTCTAATGCTCTTTTGATATTGACCTTGACATTGACGCCAATGTGGCCGGACCAATTTTGCTTTTGGTACTTTCTCCAAGGTATTACCTCCTTTGACAAATAGATTCATTTGATCATATACTCTACTCGTGGGCCTCATTAGAAAGAAAAAGGAAAAAAAAAAAAATCTTCATCACTTGGCAACCAAATCTTTTTCTTTGAATTCCTTAACTTTTTATTTATCAATGTCAATAATTATACTTGTATAAGAAGAATATAAGCATTTGAGGAGTTTTAAAAGGTTACTATAAAGTGATACGAGTAACTAATTTTTAATTTGACTATTTAATTTCCACCATTCTTTATTGTTGGATAGATCTAACAAAGTGTATTGTTCTTAATTTAGATTATATACTTTGAGTTTCGATTAGTTATGTAATTCAATTTAAATCATTACTTAGTCTCTAAAAGCTTCGCTTCCACAAACAAAGTCGCGGGTTAATAAGATTTTGTTCTTTTGTCCATATTTTACCTTGAACTTAGGGTGAATGAGCCTCAAATAAAGCTATAATCTCACCAATCATAACATTATAAGACTTTACAAGAGGATCATGAATATTGCAAAAATAAACTAAGGGAAAAGTCTTATAATGTCCAATAACAAACACACTATAAAGAATTGAAACATACTATTATCAATAAGCTATAATCTCACAAATCATAACATTATAAGACTTTACAAAAGGATTTGAAAATTGCGAAAATAAACTAAGGGATAAGTCTTCTAATGTCCAATAACAAACAGATTTTGTAAATGATTGAAACATAATGTTGACTCCTATTGGCAAAAGCACAACTGGCACAAGTCATGTCCTAAACATTTGCTCTAAACAAAATAAAAAATTTGGTCAAATTTTGTACGAAATATATCAATGACTCAATTTTTTGCATAAGTCATAAGAATACCAACTAATTAAATGTCTTTATGTAGTGGGAAGTTGAATCAACCCCAATGTCAAATTTACTATGATTTTATTTTATTTATACTATATAGAGGAAAGGTACACAATTGCTAATGGTCTCTCTGTCATACAAAAAAACCAAAAGCAGCTAATAATTTTTCTATCTCAGGTAAGAACCGCAAGAAAAACAAATACATAACAGAAATACTACGTCTTTGCTCCAAATGATGCTTGATACAAGGTCCTTAATACTTAAGGACCATAACTCCATAAGTAATACCTAAAGCACCACCGGAACATCTTATGATGACTTAGAGCAAAGAACATCCCCCTACCCCTGGCGGCCGAGCGAGCATGATTTCCTACAGTGCCAGTGGTTCAGGAAGATTGGAGAATTGTTCGTAAAGTAGAGGTGCTGCTTGCACGCATGGGATTGCTCAACCATTTGTGCCATCATAAACATTCTTGAGGGAAGTGTGTCGTTCATGCCATTACTGTTTTGTGTGCCTGTTTGGGTTTGATAGTTTATCACCGTTGCTCGCGCCACTACGTTTTTGGCGCGATCCTTAAACTGAAATCCCAAGGTTGGTTTATCATCCTTCCACAGGAAAGTATTTGATGATAATCAACCAATCTTCGGCATTTTTTTGTTGGTTTGTAAAACCTAAGGGAATAATGCAATTGCTTCTGTTATACTTTGTATAATGCAGAAGAACGTTCATGTATTATTCATACCAAATTTAACACAAGTATCCATTATAGGACGTTCATGTATCCTCTACATGTCCCAACCTTCGGCCCCCACAAATACTAGGGAAGCTTGAGGGTGAAAAACAATTAGACGAGCAAAAAAAGTATAGCGAATTGGGACAAATAATTCGAATCCTATTTTCCTATTCACAAGACTTATGCACATAGATAAGTTACTATACCGTATTACAGACTTTTCCCAACAACCATGGGAAGATTCGGAACAGATTAAGAAAATGGTACCTAAATTCACCTAAACCAGAAGTATCCTATTCCTTCTTAGGGCACGGTTTGGCTTGCCATCTGGAATTATTGTTATTATGTTTTCTTGGGCCAGAGTACCTGCGGTGCCCAGCATTAGACCTAGTTGGAGGACCACCAGATGCAGGTTCCATCGCGTTGTTATGACCTCTAGGACGTTGCTTCCTTGTTTCACGGGTACGATTTGAGGAATTACTTGACTCTGGCTCTTCTCTAGCAATTTGATTGTTATGTTGTTGCTCGCTGGCTTGTTCATTCATCACCTCTGCATCTTCACTGACCAAGTCTTGAAGAGAGAGGCGCGAAAATAACACATTGTCTTTCGGGGGTTCTATCAAGCCACCATGCTGTTGTTGCAGCTCCAATATTGTCTCAAACTTCTGTCTTCTACTGGTCTCCAGATCACATTGGAGGACTTTCTCCACGAGCTCTTTCTCATAAACATCCTGAAGATCATACCCAAAGCAAAAGTTTTAGTACCAAGATATTATTATACAGATCATCATGTTCAGGGATCTCTCTATCTACAAACCATCAACCATGTATAGGTGTCATGATTTGTAAAAGTGCAAGTGCCTAGTCCTAGTGCTAGCAGCTTTAATCACACACGAGTCACAAGCATCACTGACTTGTCAAGAGGAAAACATTGACCAATTTGATACTTTTCATCTTACGCTAAAGTTACATAACTGATTAAAAATAGCACTGCTAGAGTGACTGTGTCTTCCCATGAAATCTGTTAATCAAAAAAACAAATTTTGGAATAGGAAATCTCTTATTACATACCAATTCTGCATCATGAGAACCAACTAAGTTGAGCACATGCTCAATGTCCTTGGCGAGGAAGACTTTACGACAGACAGGACAGTTTCCTGTACTATCTCCCATCATTTTGCGTAATTCTGTTGAACAATTAGTTAAAAGAATCAGTGAAAAACAAACAAGCAGAGGAGCACCACTAAGATTGAAGGAGCAATTATGACTGTCTAAAGTCCACAAAGCTACCAATTCCATTCTTAATCATTTAGGTGCGTAACCTTCTTAGTAAGGCATCATCATATACTTGCAATTCACAGATCATCTTACATGACAAATTCTGGAGACTCAAAAGTACTAAATCAGTAATTTATCACTTCCAAGTGAGCTAGATCAGTTCCGTTATTCCAACTATCATAGCTAACTTAGTGTCAGTTTCAAAAAAAAAAAAAAAAAAACACTTGGTGTCAATGATGAAATGCCATGGACAAATCTCAAGGACAAGGTTAAACTGAAAGAGTCGTATAATTGCCACATTTTCCCCAAAACTAATAATCTCTGCCAAGATATCTTAGATTCTCTCATCGAGGGCTTAATTTAGGTGACACTCAAAGCTATTAACATGCAAATGCAAAGCATAAGTGGCATAGAGAAAAATCAACTGTCAAGCATCATCAGAATTAGACCTGTCAAAAGGGTAGGGTTAGACAGGTTTCGGATCAGGTAATTTCAAATATGGAACAGACCGGTTCCAGGATGACTTTGTAGAACTAAGTAGTTTTTTGCAAGTTTTGTCAGTTTTTTTGTTCCAAAATCTTGTTTGTGAACACATACTTTCAGATGAATCCAGGTTGAGTTTAGGGGAAGGGTCAATTTTAGAGTCTTTTTAAGGAAAGTTCCAGCCTCCAGAGCAATCCTAATAAAATAACAAGGTAGAAATTTCCTGATTAATACAGAGTTGCTAGCCAGCAGATTTGAGGAGTCTACAACTCTACACACTTTTTTTTTTTTTTTTTTTTTTAGGGGGGGGGGGGGGGGTCATTAAAATCCTAGAGCTGCTGATTTGCAGTTTAACTTAACAAACTTTCTTTAAAACAGAGTGCTAATTACACACACATCATTTTGCCGAGATATACTGTTAGCTTCAACGTTCCCCAAGACAACAGAGCCATCATTGTGGAGTTTCACAATAGATGTTAAACAATGTAAATCATGGCCGTCATGGGTAGAGGTAGCACATGACACACTGCTAAGAAGATCTAGCCAATGCAATCTGCCTCTATGAGCTTAAGACCAAGTACTATCAGATAAATCTTGAACAACTATTGGATAATCGACAACATGCACAAACTTTTCGACAGCTAGACGCAATTGTTTAGTGGAAAGTAACTATATTGGTCAACATGTCTTGCCTGAAGCCAGATTGTTTTCTTCATGGACAATAGTTGACGGAGTACTTGAGGTTCCATGGCAGGCATCATTTTGTCTCAGGAACCATTTCAACCATCTTACAATGCACTCACTACATCAACACAGGCAAAATCAAGACAACAACCATGTAAGAGAAATTATATCTGTCATTTGATGCATACTAGTATATTACAGAATAAGGATTTAGGCTTTACCAGTGGAAGCAATGAAAGCAAGACATCAACTTCATAAATGGCTGGGCTTCACTGTGCTTATCTTCTGTTACCAAAGGATACAAACACAATGGACAATCACCTTCAGGGTGGTTCATGCTGGTAAGAATTTCCACAGCTTCCTATTGCAACGAGAAATGTTTGTGTTTAGAGGCCCAATTCATAAAATAACCTTCTTTGTAAATTTTTTATTTTTTTTTAAAAAAAAAGGATTATAGTGACACAATAACGATAGCAGCTGAGTATGAATCCTGCATCAGCTAGTCCTTAAGGAAGCTTTAATGGCATATAGTCCAGAAGAATAGAAAAGAAAAGAGAAAAAAAAAAAAAAAAAAAAAAAAACTAACCAACTACTCGCATGTAGAAAACAACACAAAGCAATACTCTCTAAATTTCTTTTTCAAATAAGTGACGTCAAAAAGTTAATTACTTAAAAAAGTTTTGTCGATTTTATTTTTGTACTAACTTGACCACCTCAATGTTGGCAAGTTCAGAACTACATGATCTGCTGTTTCTTGTAATTAAAAAAAAAAAAAAAAAAAAAAAAAAAAAAAAAAAAAAAAAAAACTAAATCTCTGTACCCAAGTCAAAAAGGGAATATTTTATTATGTGCATCACATATTCACATGAAAATTGAATGAGCTAACCTCGCAAAGCGCCACAAGCATTAAGCAAGACGCAAGTTCATGAGCCTTCTCATGTAAACCACTAATCAGATGCTTTTGCCTTTTCTCATCAAGTCCTTTAGAACCTATAATATCAACATAAGGTGGATCACTGGGATACTGCCACAAATTGAAGGTAAATATTAGACAGAAAAGAGGTACAAAACCAAGCAAGGAAACTCTTAAAATGTCTTCCGAAATATAACAGGGGCAACTGGGAATAAACAAGGTTATAGAAACATGAAATTTTCTTCACATTGAGATGTCAGGCTATGCCATTCCCTTGACTCACCAAAACTAGAAAGGGGATAATTATATACAAAAGTAGAAAACTTTACCTGCATACCAGCCCGTAACTCAATTGTTGCTTCCACAAACTACATAAAAGGTGAAAAAACGCTTTTGTTAAGTTTTGACACTGCATAAGTCAAGGCAAGCAAGTTACAATAAACTTCGAAAGAAACACAATAGAGGTCTTAGGCCTCAATTCAATGGGTCTAGCCGTCTAGACTCTAGAACAATAAGCTGATCTAGTTCTCTTTCGTTTACTACTTGCCTCATGGAGTTGCTACCCGAGACAGCAAACAACAAAGGTTCACAATTTAGTAGGTACTAGTTTCAATTTACCTTTAAGGAACCTCAGTTTTCAATAACAGCTGAAATAGGCATCTCAATTTCCATTAAAATCACAAACACCTTAGCTCCACCAAAACAGGTAGGATGATAGACCAAGAGTTAATATCAATAAACAAAATCCTCGGAAATTCTTCCATTCGTTCATCGATTGTTCCGAAAGTAGAACTCAACAAAACAGAATTGGGGTAAAAAATCACAAGTTTTTTTCATATAATCTTGTTATGCATTATTAATACAATTATACTGCCTTCAACCTTTTAAGCCGTAAACCTTAGGGCTTTAGCAAATTCTTCACAATCACATACTTTCATATCAACAATCTAATTCTATGTTTATTCATCCTATGAAACGTAAGTTGGAAATTAAAAAAAAAGTTGCAATCAATGTAAAATGATCATAATCGAATAAATCAACATAAAAATCTGATCAAAAAGTATCTGAATAACTTTAATTCAAATACTAGTACTGATATTAAATTCTATAATTACAAATCAAAAATCAAAAAGTAGATAAATAGCTAAATTAACAATAGAATTAAGAAATTAAACCCATAATATTAATTACGAGCAAAAAAAAAATTGCAAAAAAAAAAAAAAAAAAAAAAAAAAAGAGACCTGTTGAGAATGGACGTCGGCGGTACGAGGTTTGATGTGGAGACGAAGATGAGGAGGAAATCTATTGAGAACGATACAGTCGTCGCCATAAACGGCTTCAGCAGCTTCGACTTCCATTGTTACTTCATCTTCTTCCGCCATTGATGATTGGCTCAGTTAGCAGAAAGAGGAGAGAGAAAATGGAGGGGGTTTTGAGCTCTGTCTTCTGGAATATATGGAAATATCGAAAATGGATCCTCCTTTCTTGACCCGGAAAACGGTAATGGCAATTTTGTAAATAATGACATTTTGAGAGTACTACTGAACATTTTTTGTAGTACTATATATGTTTTCAATAGTAGTACTATTAGGAATTCCATTAGTATAAAAGGCTATTATGTAATTTTACTTGTGCCTAATGATGATGTATTAGAACTTCCCTGCACGTGCATCGTACACTTAAAATATTTTTTTGCTTATTTTGATGATTAAATACGTAATTGATCATAGGAGTATAAATCTTCAAACGAAAATAAAATAAAATCTTGGTGTATCTTACACTCGCCCTTTTAGGCAGAGAGGAGTCGAAAGGAAAAGAAAAGATAGGAAAAATATAGGAAAAAAGAGAACGGGAAAATGGATCTCTCCCTCTCCTTTCTCTTCCTTCCCCCAATTCTTTACCCAAACAAGAAAGTTTGTTCCCCTCCCTTTTTCTTCCCTTCTTTTCCTTCCATCTCCTTCTATTCAAACAAAGTGTTAACAAAGGCGATTTTTGAGATATGTCAACAACTATTGCGCAATTCTTGACGAACTTCGTAATTTGAGTACTGAGATGTCTTGATTTTTCCCTCACTAATGTGGCATATGTTTCACAAGTTTGTCATTGACATGTTTTCACTGTTTTCATTTTCCTTTCATTTATGAAAACGATATCCCAATACACACATAGAAAGAACAGCTTGTGAGAAATAAGGAAAGCCAGAAGATAGTGTGTGCTTATTTAGTTATTTTGCATCATGTCTATGACAAAGTTGTTGACTGTTTCGCCTGCAAGTTGAGATTGAGTCTAATTGCAAGCTGAAACATCTCCAGCCTTGTCATATTATTTTATCCCCTTTTCTTCAGCAACCAAAAAATCCCAATTCCACAAAACGAAACATATATGTTTGATACATGATAAAAAAAAGCAAAGCAGAAGACGTAGATCAATGGACGATGAAATCGATACTGCGCCAAATTCACTTCATCTTGCTATAAAAGCACCAAAATTTTCACGTCAATAGTCATAGATCAATCAAGAAGATTATATTAACTACGAATCTTAACTAAACCTCGAAAATATATTGTAACTATTACAATCCCAAGATCCACCCATGAAAAATTCAACCCTTCAACACCAAAACAGACCACCTACTCTAATGAAAATTATTAACATGGATTCAGGGGGCTTGTATAGTTGCCAACTTTGCAAAAGGTCAAAGATCAGCGACAATGGTCCAAAAGTAAAGTTGTATTATCTCCAAAAGCAGAAATCTGTGCAGTTTGCCGCTGTCCAAACCAGCAGTCACCTGATAAACACTCTATCTCCCACTGTTCAATGTAGTGGATGCCGCCTCCTGCAGTCAAAAAAACATGTCAACAAAAAGAATCCACTATATTGAGTACTACTGAATAGTGAATACATAAACTGGTGCATTATAGAAAGCTTGACTGCAGGGAAACTACCTCTTAGGTCGGATTCTATCTTCCTCGAAGTCCATCACTCCGCCAGGTTCAGCGTAGATCTCCTCATGCCCTCGGAAGTCCAAGTCGGCCTGCTTACAGTGTGTAGCTTCTGCCACAATGTAAGTAAGACCATCGACGAACATATTCCATGACAAAGCAAGAAAATAAATGCACTCTCTAAACCTAGATGCTATTACTTGCTAACCGAATACAAAAATTATAACTGTAACAAACAACAGCCATCAGATCATTGAATCCAAATCATGATAAAAATGATTTGTCAGAATTTAGCACACAAGAATACCATTTCAGCCGAATGAATGGGCATAAACCAAGCAACAGCATCTTGCAAGACAATCGACATTATAATGTTATGTTTGACTTCTCTTACTATTCATATGCTAAACTTCAACTTATTTTATTACAAATACAAAAACAACCTTAATCCCAAAAAGATTTAGGGTCAGGTACAATGAACTGTCATTTGAAACCGTCCGTGAATTTTAACAAATATATAACTCCCTCCATCCCTTGATTACGTGCCAGTATTCCTTTTAGGAGTGCTCAAAATATTTTGCCTGTTTCAGAATCTTTTTTCTTAAAAAAATGTACTATTTGACAATTATAATTGTTGTATAAAATATTGTTGAATTAGTCACAAACTCACAATGTATATATACATATTATCAATTTATTTAATAATTTTTACCAATAAACAATAGATATTAAAAAGATCAAAGTTGTGCGTTGACAAACATGCCGTCAAACTATAGCACCAAAAAAAACACCAAAGGGAGTAGCATGTAAATTGACACTATACCAGATTTCCCAATACTACTATGCAACCAAGTCAGTAGAACGGCTACAGTGCAAGCACCAAAAGCAAATGCTAATTGCACGGTATACACATTGCTAGATGACAAGCCAGTATGCATGTTTTGCAGGAGAGAATTACTAGCAAAAGCAGAAAAAATGAATTTCACACCTTCATGGAAACGGTCTTCTTTACTTCCTCCACTCTCTCTTCAACTTCTTTTTTATGTTTCTTGTCCACCTCGCTCATGGTATCAGCCCATTTTATCTTCTCTTGAATTGTCAAAAGTAAATTGTCTGAAGTTGCCAGCCTTTAATACACACAAAAATATAAACCATTATATAGGATTTGCAGTGGCTAGCAATACAAAAGCAAAATTGTTCTATAGAAATAACCAATCAACGTAACAAAGCAGATTTGATTACTCAGAAAGCTTGATATGCACCCAACCACTGACATTAAGACAAAAAGGGAATTAAAACTGCTACAACTTCCCAGCTGCTAGGAGGTCCAGATAGGAAGAATCAAACAATGATTCATGAAACATACACCGGACTCCAGTTCTTAGAGAAAAAAATAAATAAATAAAGCATACATTGCAATCCTTGGATACAGTCTAAGGTAATCATAGAGGAATTTCCCAACACGATATAGCAATCAAGAATTAGACACCACAAAAATAAAAAATACCAAGAAAAATTAATCAAATCGTATTTTTAAGAGTGACGAGTTATAAAATTTGGGCCATGTAAGAGTCTTAAACATGTTAGGATGTGATCTAACAGAATGTTTGTCCACAAGCTCTCATCTGTTTGCCTTCAGATCAAGTGAGGATATCAGATGAGAAGAGTAACCAATAACTTACAGCACAAATGTGGGAAAAGAAGTAGAATGAAGATTCCACAAATATTGGGGGAAAAAAAATCAGTCAGAATGACATCCCAGCAGTTGACATAAGTTACAAACCCAGTACAAAGATTATCCTTGTTGGCACATTATCCACTTCCAAAATAAAAGGCTTTATGCAAAATTTAAAATACCAGTTAGTCAATGTATGTATCATACTGCCCAATTGCCCTGGTCTTAGATCCCTTCCAGCAGCAAACACTACCTGCATCCAAATGACAACTGTATCAAACTTCAAAAGGCTTAAACATTCATCGCGAGGAGGTGGGGTAAAGAGTGTGCAATCATAGCACCTCAAAACATCTTCGGTACTGACCCAGCTTTCCCCTAACAATGCCCTGTCAACCAACAGTAAATGTCAGTTTACAATCGATACATTAACACATCCCGATACTAAGGACCCTCCCAAGATCACTCAAATATTTAATGGTCAAGAACATGTATACATTGAAAAACACTTGTTCAACCATGTGCATAACACCATAGCACGACATGATTAAATCTAAAGACTGATAGGTACATATAAAGGCCAATCAGTTTGATTCAGATGATTTCAAATTTGAGTAATGACGTAATGTTGCAGGCTTGAAACTGAATGTGTCTAGGGGCTGGAGCGAGTAAGAAGATAATAGTTCGACGCTCCAAGAAAGTCTAAAGCTAGTCATGCTAAAAGCATCAATTATTTTGTTGGGAAATGCTAAACAAATATTAACATCTGTAGCTCAGGGCATAGGAGTTGATAGACCTCAACCCAGAAGTCAGGCCTGAAATACAAAAGGAGCACTGACTACTGCATTCGCAAATTTGCCAAAATCGTCATTCATCACATTGATTAAACCCTAATGTCGCTTCTATTACGAAGCCCGCCCCCCTTCAATGTGAAAGTTTCCCCTCGCATGAATTTTTCAGATAAACCTCTTAAAGAATTAGAGGTCAAATTTTTCCATATGTAAACAAAAAAGAGAAAAGACCAAACCATATCATAATTTGATTATAAAACAGGTTGCACTTCGGGTGAGTAACACGTAACGACCAAACGAATTGGGGGGGGGTGGTTTCGGGGAGAACCAGCTAGCTTTGGGTTCGACCAGCTACTTTATCACCTAATTTGATTTTGCGCTTCTGTGTTTAACTCAAATGTCGCTCACCTCTTTTTGGGTGATTGTTAAGAAATAAAGAGCTGCACCAATAAATAGGCAACGGAGCTACAACATTATGCTGACAATTGAAGCTTGAACCACAACTTCACAAAGAGACTCAACATGACATATAAATCATACATGATCATCACCATACGACATGAAAACCCAAATTAGACAAGATTGAAATGAAACACAGGCCTGAAGTCCAAAGCGGAGCTGTAGAAATATTAATGACATCTCATGGGAAAGAAAAGTAAAGGAAACATGACCTGAATAAAAAGAAATATTTACACAAGAAACAAGATAGACAGGTTTACTAATAAAGACCAGGAACACCTTAAATCAGTTAGCTCCATAAGTGTAAATGGAGATGAAAATATAAGTTAGCAGAATACGTACCGAATACATGCACTCATTGATAAGAAAATCTTCCAGTTCACGCACATTTGTAACATCTAGCTCCTCCATCAAATGATCATATGGTAGTACCTGAAAACAGCACAGACAAAAACAGAACAGCAACAAAATTGAGAAGGAAGCATGGAACCATAAACCAATAATGCATTGTTTATCAAAAACAATCCAGATAGGTTTATCATCGAATTATTTTATATATAGTAACCAAATTATTTTACATAAATAAAGAGTAACTCTCTGTGTTTCCCAAACTCAAAAGTATGT